ATGGGTGGGTATACCATATAAAGAGGTATTTTGCAGTGAATGTGTTAAGAGAGGAGGAGAAGGTTACAGCCGCAGGATAATGTCTGGAGGGAAAGCTCTCGCTTGGTTATAGTGGAGAGAGGCTAGATATCTAATTCGTTTGTGGGAGGAGTTTAAGGATTGCTTGTTGGAATGTTTCCGAGCCATTTAGAAAGGAGGCCTACACGAGGAATTCCTTTCCTTGATGCAGAAGAGGACTGTCATGGAGTACAAGAAGAGGTTTGAGTTGTTGTCAGGGAGGATGAGGGGATTTTCTAACACAGTGTTGGAGTGAAATTTCATGAAGAGCTTCAAGCCCGATATACGAGCGAACCTTCGATTACTGAGGCTTAGGGGGTTGAAGGATATGATGGAGCTAGCACATATAATAGAGATTCGGAGGTAGATGGAGAAAAGTAGTAAGAGTGGGGTTGCAGAAGGCTCTTACAAAAGTACCTCAACTTCATTGGCACTGAGACCCCAGATTGTATCATTTCAGCGGGAGGGACTAAGGGAGAAGAGTGGGGGAGTTTGCCCGAGGGCTAACTTCAAGAGCCTCACAAAGGCGGAGGTGCAAGATAAGAGAGCGAAAAGTTTGTATTTTGTTGTGATAAGAAGTATGCACAGGCCATCGATGCAAGAACCGCACACTCCAAGTTCGTCTGGTTTACTCCAGGTTCGTCTGGTTTGTGAGGAGGAAGAGATTGATAGTGAGGACCTAGTGAAGGAAGTAGAAGAATGAAGAGAACATCTACACACTGAAGTGACAGAAGTGTCCCTAAATTTTGTGGTGAGATTTATTCCAAATCACACTATTGAGGTGAGGGGATAGATCGGAGAGCAACCAGTGATGGTCTTGGTGGATAATGAGGCTACTCATAACTTCATCTCCAACCAGGACGTGGACCAGTTGGGATTCAAGTTGGTGGATAAGGGAGCCCTGGAGTTATGATGGGAACGGGAAAGGTAGAGAGGAGTAAGGGGATTTGCAGGAGGGTGGTGCTGACACTCCAGGGCATATAGATAGTGGACATTTTCTTCCCTCGGATTTGGAGAGCACTAATGTGATTCTAAGGATGAATTGGTTATAGGTGATCGGGGAGACGAAGGTAAAATGGAAATCTCTAACTATAAAGATTCATGTGGAGGGGGAGAAGGTGATATGCTACGAGAAGATGTCAACCTATACAAAACCATGATTTTACTCAAAACCATGATCAAGGCGATATAGGGTTTAGGATTGGGCAACATGGCGGAGCTATAAAACTTGGAGAAGGTTCGAGACTCAGAGCCTGCCAAGATCCTTGATGGTGTATGAAAACTTCTGCAACAATTCTCTGAGATTTTTCAACATACTAGCGGATTACCGCCACCCCAGGAGCACGAGCATGCCATTTCCTTGAATGAGGAGCTTCTCCTATCAATGTCAGACCATACCAGTACCCGCAAATTTAAAAGGATGAGATAGAGAAGCTTATCAGAGAGATCCTTAAGGAAGGAATAATCAGGCCCAGTGTGAGCCCCTTTTCCAGCCCCACGTTACTGGTGAGAAAGAAGGGCAACTGTTAAAGATTTTGGGTGGATTACAGGGTCCTGAATAAGGAAACTATGCTGCACAAGTTTCCTATCCCCATAATCGATGAGCTATTTGGACCGATTGTTTTCTCCAAAATTAACTTGAAATCAGAATATCACCAAATCAGAATGAAGCAGAGGGATGTGCACAAGACAGCTTTCAAAATTCATGAGGGTCACTACGAGTTTTTAGTAAGGCCTTCCGACCATACCAACACTCTAGCCACCTTTCAGTCCCTCATGAACTGGGTTTTCCAATGTTACCTCAAAAAGTTCGTCTTGGTATTTTATGATGGCATACTGATCTACAATCGTACAAAGACAGAGCATTTGGGTCACCTAAGGACTGTACTGGAGACTTAGAGGGAGCACCAGTTATACGCCAACCTATAGAAATGTTCTTTTGCACAATCATGGGTGATGTACTTAGGACATGTGGTGAGCAAAGCAATGGTAGCAGCAAACTAGCCCAAGATTGAGATTATGTTGGATTGGCCATAACATAAAAACTTGAAGGAGTTGAAAGGGTTCATAGGGCTCATCGGATACAATCAAAAAAATTATGCGAGGGTATGGCACGATAGCATGGCCACTAACTGAGCAACTGAAGAAAGACAGTTTCAATTCGGCGGTGGAGAGCACTAACATAAACCTTCAAGCAGCTAAAGAAATCCATGACCAGTGTGCTAATATTAACACTTCCGAACGTCAACAAATTATTTGTGGTGGAGACAGATACATCAGGATATGGACTAGGGGCGGTGCTTAAGCAGAATAATCGACTCATTGCTTAATTCAGGATCAAGTTCATATACAAGCGAGAGCTGATGGCGATTGTCTTAGTCATCCATAAGTGATAACTTTATTTGTTGAGGTGACATTTTATTGTCACAACAGACCAAAGAAGTTTGCAGTCTCTAATAGAGTGGAGGATGATGACTGAGGAGCCTCGGTAGTGGTTGTCCAAGTTGTTAAGATATGACTTCTAGATTTAGTATCGCTTAAGATTGGAGAACAAGGATGCGGATGCATTAGCATGGAAGACTGACGAGGAACAATTGACAACTCTACCGATACCTATGGTCCTAGATTAGGAAGCCCTGAGAGAAGAGAGTGAACAGGATGAGGGTCTGAGGAAGATCATAGCCGATTTGTTGCAACACCCATCCAGTCATCCCGATTACACGCTGAGGAGCCCGATTACATGCTGATGGGCACCAAGCTACTACATCCGGGATACATCCCCAAGCTATTGCAGGATTTTCATGGCAGGACAGTTGGAGGACATTTAGAAGCTCAAAAAACCTACAGCCGGCTATCAATAGAACTATACTGGGTGGGGATGCACCGCGTTATAGAGGACTAGGTAGAGAAATGTGATGTGTGTTGGATGCAGGAGTACTTGGCCATGACAACAGGAGGGTTACTATAGCCACTAGCTCTGCTAGAGACTATATGGGAGGTAGCGGCAATGGATTTCATCGAAGGGTTGTCGCGTGCGAAGGGATTTTCAATGATATTAGTAGTAGTGGACTGTCTAAGCAAGTATGCACACTTTATCCCTCTGAAGCAACTAACATCGCAATCTCTGTGGCTAGTGTTTTTATACAAGAGGTGATGCGATTGCATGGATATCCAGAATCTATTATATCAAGTAAGGACAAGATATTTAAAAGAGAAGCATAACATATCATCCACAGACAGATCCCCAGACCAAGGTAATCAACATAAGTGTAGAGACCTATTTGAGATGCTTCGTCTCAGATGTGCTGAAGAGTCGGGCCAAATGGATTGCTTGAGCCAAATATTGGTAAAACACATCATACCATTCAACAGCACAAACCACCCCTTTCAAGATTCTCTATGGGAGAGATCTACCTCATTTGATTCATTATGGGCATAGAACTACACCAATATCCAATGTAGATCAGTATTTAGAGGAGAGGGACAAGGTACTATCTGAGCTCAAGATATTTGTTGAGGGCCCAATAGATAATGAAAAGGAAGGCAAGTGAGTACAAAAGAGAAGTCAACTTCGAGCCCGAAGATATAGTATACTTAAGCTAAGACCCTATAGGCAAATGACACTAGCCAAGACGAGGAATGATAAATTGTCCTCATGATACTTTGGTCCTTATGAGGTTTTGGAATGCATTGGCACAATGGCTTATTGATTGAGGCTTCCATCTTCATCAACACTACAACCAGTATTTCATGCCTCCCAGCTGAGGCGAGCGATAGGAAATCACACACCGTCTTCATTACCCTCAACTTTGTCAGAAGATATGGAGGACAATTTGGAACCCCTGACAGTAGAAGGGGGCCCGTCGAGGAGAGAGAGGGGCGCATGAGGTACCAATCAAGAAGAAGGAATTGTCGGAGCATGAAGCTACTTAGGAACCATACGAGATGATTATGAGATAGTTTTCATCCTTCCACCTTGATGATAAGGTGTGTCTGGGGGAGGGGGAGTACTGTTACACCTCGTATAGTGATCGGGATTCTTCTGTCCAGTTCAATAGAACCGGACCCAACAAACAGAGAGGCGGATTCGAACCCCCTTGTGAGGCCCGAAATATATTTAATATGCAAGAAAGAGAGATTTAGGAAGGTTTTAATTATAAATTTTTTTTAGAGAAGGGGAGGGGGGTTGATTTAATAAAAAGATCCAAATCAAATTCAAATTGAGGGAATCAATTAAGGAAAGGGGCTAGTTTAGAAGGGAATTTCGGAAAGCCTATTTAAGACTAATTATATTGTATTTTCAGTTTATGTATTTTTTTTCTTCTGTACCTTTTCCTAGAGAATTTCCTAACGGTGTCTTGGGCTTGTGGGAAAGCCGATGTATCTCTCGAATAGTAACTCAGTTGTATCTTTTATTATCTGCTGAAGGAGTAATAAAAAATCAGCCCTCATATTTGTGTTCCAGCAATTTCTTCTTCTCTATTTTGCTGTTTTTTTTTTTCCAAAACACATCAGTTGGCAACTAGCATTAGCTTTGTGTCTGAAAAGATTTGCCTAACAAACAGCAACAAAGAGCCTGTCAATTAACAATTTGAATTTAAGCCAATTCAAATCCTTGTCATGATTTCTCCGAGGCATCTAATATAATCTAGTTAGAGGACTGAATGAGCAGGAACAATCAAATTTCAATTCAAGCCGAAGTTGACTTTTAAATTTGATCCAAACATTGGATGAGCCAAAAAACCACAATATCCAATTGAGCTTGGCTTGTCAGATGACCCATTGATTTTGTTTTTTATCTAGTTTCAATTGAAGAAAAAACACAATCCAATTTTCCAGTGATCTTCGGTCTTGCAGTTGGATTTGCTGCCTTACAGGTAATATGGGTTTCATGACTTAAGCATTAATTGATGCAATAACTGGACACAAAGAAAGAGGATTACCTTTTCCAAAATTGCTGATTGATCGTCTGGGTGAAACCTGCGAATAGTCTTAAGCATTTCCAATTGCTACAACTTTTTTAACGGTTAGTCATTTTGTTAACAATGTATTTTATAAAAAAAGATGAGATTGCAACTACCTGCTCTTGAAGTTTCTGCTGATGATGCATTTTATCCACAAATTCATCCGGTTTGAGTTCAGCCTCGTCAATGGCCATCTCTTCCCTGTCAGTTTTGCAGAACGATGAATTTACTTTCATTTGACACTTGTAATGCATTATGCTGCAGAATAAATTAAAAAAAGATATAAAATAATCAAAATTCACTTTTTCAGAAGGATGCTAAGAAATAACAAAATTTAAAGTGGAACCTACCAATACATTCTGCAACAGATGACCAATTGTTCCTCCATTCTAACTGATATTTATGCAGAATGATCGCTAGCATGACCTCCAAAGCCATAATGTTTAACTTTTTGTAAAATGCCAACCATATTCCCATGGACTGGAACGAGTTTGGCGAGCATTATACCTTAGCGTACACAACACGAAGGCGACGGCGTTGCGACGAAGAGGAAACCGGCGAGGGGTCAGAACACAAAAAATCTCCCTTTCTTTTTTTTTTAGTTTCCTCTCCTTTTTTTTCTTTTTCTTTTTTTTTATACTAATACTAATAGTGATAATAATATTAGAGAGAGAGAGAGAGCTGCTAAGTGGGAGAGAGCAAATGGTAGAGAGTAAAGGATAAAGAACTCGAGAATTCTCTGTTAAAGAGAAACTAGAAGTGAAACAGAGATTTTGGTTGTACCAGTTGTTGGGTGTGGCGGCTGGATGGGGAGTTCAGTTGTAGTGAACTTAGTTTAGACGGTGGCTGCTGTGTAGTGAAGTTGGTGGCTGGGTAATAAAGGAAAGGGAGGAGTTTGGGTAGCTATAGGGTGTGAAGGCTAGTGTGGGTTTAGGAGAAAGTGAAGTGGCTTTTTGGTCAATTATGTGTTGTAGTTGAAAGAAGGAGCAAAAGGAGGAGATGTGTGGGTTTGGAGTTTGGATCTGCTGTGTGAGGCAAGAGCAGGTGTAGTTGTGATTTTGAGCACATGTGAATGGGAGTAGGAGAAAGAGAGGGCCAGGTGCTAGATATGAGAGTTGGGAGATCGGCTTTGGGAAGCTGTTGCAGGAGGGAGAGGAGTTGTAGTGGTCTAAGGTTGAAGGCTGCTGGAGGAGGGGTAGAGGAGTTCGGCCTGCAGTGAGGAGTAAGATGAGCTTTTCTATTTTTTTCTATTATATATATATATTACATTAAAATTATAAAATTTGAATTAAAATATCATTCAAAATAAACAAGAGTTAATCAATTCTCGTATAGTTACTCGTAAATCGCGCAACTCAATTTGCATGATGTTGCCTCGACCAACATGCGGCCATTTTGCTCATGCAATAACCAACAATATGAGCATCCGGGACAGGTATTTTCGACATTACAGATACAACAGCAAAGTTTGTTTTGCAAACGGACGCCATTCGGACAATGACGCACATCATCACATCTGCAGACCTTCATCTTCGACCTCCTTTGCTAAATTAATCGCGAGAGGTCTTCATTCAGATAAATTTGACATCCCAAACAGATCAGTGCAGTCCGTTTGAAAATTGGAAGTTATTTTGTCAGCATCGCTCCCGCAAGCTACCTCACGCCCGCAAACGGTAGTTTTCATCACTCTTTCATCACATGATCGAGCCAATTTTCGTCTGAGCAACTCTTTGACAAATTTGGCATTCTGAATGCAATAATGAAATCCATTTCACAATCGAGTGAAGTTTGAGCGGTTCTTCATGCCCACAAATGGTTGCCAAACAACCTCGTCTTTTTTTGCATTGACCATGACATATGTATGGAGGTCAACACTTTCAAGAATAAAGAGGGGTTTTTTGAATTGCAACGAACGAAGAACACTATTTCCAAACGATCTCCATAAATTTTGATTTGAAATTTTGATGTACCATAAAAATTTATATATCAAAATGATTTATTCTACTTACTATACTCATTTATTTAAACCTCAGTTGGTAGAAACAATTTGGTGACTGCACTCTAGAATTATAGCATTTTGATGTTAAGGTTTTGAGATTAACATGTTCTTCATCTAGATGTGAACGCAACTGAAGCACGTACAATTAAGTGCACATTAAGAAATGAAATCATCAAACACTGCTAAGGATGATATTCTTAATATACATCATGTATAATAAGAGACTTAAAGATAGAAATTTGACAAAATGGTTGAAAAATGATGAAAACCCTTTAATTATCAAGATATGTGATGAAGACCCTTTAATTATCAAGATATGGCATCGATGAAGAGTAATTCTTATATGATGAAATGGAGATAATACCATTTGAATTATGAGAATAAGATTTGAATATTGATTTCTTTGATAATTATAGAAACAAAGAATCTGCATCCACCACAACCCACCATAGAAATAGCTAAAAAGAAAAGGTACATAAAAAGAATTTATTTTGTTAAAGCTTATTTGCTTAGAAGTATTGCTCTCATCTTTATATTGATAAAAAAAAAATATTTGAGAATGAAGAAAATGACTAAAATAGATGATGAGGCATTGGACTCTACAAGTGATGAGGCAGCGGAGATAACAAATCATTATAATGACAACTCAAATGAAAATCTCTTAGTAATAACAGCGCAAATGACTTCTGAGTTGTTATTCTATTATATTTATTTATAAATGAATATGGATGATAAAGGAAGTGAGAAAAGAGTTTAAAGTTGAACTTCACGACTTGATGTTATATGATACTTTTATGCAATTCATATATTTTATGTTGTTTTGTATTTTTGATATTTTCATATTTGAATTTTAATTCTATTTAATATAATTTATCACTTGTTATTTTATGTCTTGTGAAATTTTTTTTTCATTTACATGTCAGTTTGTTAATTCATAGTTCAATAAGAAGTTAATTCATCTTTTAACATATTACTTGGTTATTATATAAAAAAAAATCACTTTAATCTATTTTTTTAATTTACGCATTTTTTTTTTATTTCAAGGCTTACACTTCAAAATGCCTTAAGGCTTACACCTCGCCTCATGGAATACCCAATTGTGTTATTTTAAACTTTGGTGGAAAACTCCTCCACTGTGAGCGATTCTAGGGAGGGAAGCCAAAAGATTGAGGATGCGAGAGCAAGGTTCGCTGGTGTATTCTATAATGCACACCCCGCCCCCCACCACCACACACAAAACAAATTTGCTCCCCAACTGCACTTCAAGTCATATCTCCAACAAGCCCAGAATTGGCGTCGCCACCTCAACGACACCTGGACCTACGACGACCTCTTCAATGTTGCCTTTCTCCATACTGGCCTCCCGAACAATGCCCTAGCCTACGCTAACCTCCCCTACATCGTTGATGACAATGAGTTTAGTTAGGAGTGATGGCGGAAGCTCGATACCCTGAGATACTTTGATAATCAATTCAATAACATTTGATCCTCCAGTCAACATCATCAAAAGTTCGTCAACATTTAAGCCTAAAACCTTTAAGGGAACAAACAGTAGTTGATCTTATGGTGCTTTCCCCCTGCACTTGTTGAAGGCCACCCACTACTTCAAAGTCGTCATCTCTTGATCACTCCGCAGACGCTGCAATGACTAACTCGAGGATACAAAAAACTATTGACTCTCTCATAATGGGTATTTTCCTTTTTTAGCAAACTGAATCTTGGATAACTAGATTTGTCTTTTTCACGCTTACTTGTCACAAGAAGAGCCCCATGCAAAATCATTTCTAAGGGGATAAGCTCCCCAATTTCATCATCACGAGAACATAGCGAGGAACTCACCTCGATGTCCTAAAGCTCATAGGTTCATTATCCACATCCACAATAATGGTCACCCTTACAAGAGCTATTAAGGCATCAACAACGGGCAGATCGTCTCAAAAGGCAACAACTGCCTCATTAATAGCAATAGCACCTTCCTAGTCTCAACCCTTGCTTTTTTTGCTGGAGGGGAAGCGACGATCTCCGCAGACCCAATTAGCTATTTGGCCCCTCCCACATTCATCTCCTTGCTAGACGAAGCCGTAGCTACCTCAAAAACCTTCTAATAAGATGAGGCAGCTCGCCCTATGCAAAACACCACATTCTTGGACATCATTTTGCGAGCACAAATCTTTGAAGGAGATACATCTCACAAAGTAATCGTCAATTCTCTTACAGCAACAAACAAAGAAATCAGCATTCTGAGGTATAGAATCCACAATTTATAAAAGAGCACCATATGGAAATTACGCCATTACAACGTAAACATCATAAAGTCAGCATGGTTCCCGAGACTATAGTAGAAGTAGGATAGTATTTTTACATTTATATCTCCACTCTCGTTAGGTATTTGTTGTTAATATTATTCACTCGTCCTTCTCACAGCTCGCTTGTCAAAGCCCGATTGAATTGGGGAACTAAAATGTATATCCCTAATTGCCTTCTTAAGAGTCTTCAGAGGTAGTTAACCAGGTTGTGACGTGACTACTAGAGGAAGTAGCCCAAGGAGAGGGTGCCACTATACCGTATCCACTCAGTAGCTCGCCCTACACTAGATGACCTGAAGGTGCCTCGCCAAACAAATGGATTATCTCTCATTTTAGTCAAGCTCTTACCCTTTAAGCCTGTCGAACACATTCACAAGAAAGAATCTACCGTAGTGACATTCATTCATTCAGCCATAACTCATGCCAGTCTTAGAAACTCATCATCTCCGCCTACACCTCAACTCACGTCATCAACCGGTTGACACCGAGCCTCTTATGTCACTCACCAATATCACAAGATAACTCTCCGACTACATGACCATCTCCTCTCAGGAATCGCACTATACCCACTCGCCCCTTTATGAGCTTGCCTAACGGCGGACAGCTCACTAGATAGTTTACTTCACCTTCCCGGGCCCAATCAAGAAGTGCTACGTATCTTAAATTATCATATAATGTTGTCCGGATATTTATATGTAACCTATATTTATGACTTTTTGCGTAGTCTTTCATGTAACATTCAAAACCCTACAAGGGGTGATGAGGAACCGTTGAGAGACTTTTTTTTTTTTACTTCGACTTTTTGGAGACCTTTAGGCTTTTTTTAGCTCTATTCTTATTCTTCTATTTTTTGATAAGATTGTGCAGATTTTGCTAGCTTATCTCTCCTATATTCTCTATTCTCTATTTTTACTAACAAGTTGTCAATCTCATCAGACGAATCAACTAGTAAAGTTTTATTATCATCCACCAGATAAATCTGAATTCAATAGTTTAATTATTTAGATATTTGTTTTCTCCATGTATTGCCTTTGTGTAGCCCATAGTACGGATGCCATAAATACTCAAAGATGTCTAATACTTTATAACATGTTTTGAAATGGTTACAATCAGATTTCCTTCTTTTCTTTCCCTCTCTTTTCTTTTCTCTAGTGTCCATTCTGTGCTTTAGACCAGAGAAGATCTTAATTGATCGTGATCTGTTTACTTCACCTTCCACGGATTTCTCCGGTATCATGTTGCTTCCACGTCTTGCTTCATTAGCTATTGTTGTAACCTAAATCGGTAGATGGTTGGGATGATCAGCTGCTATGATGCGCACACACGGACACGGCGACACGGATACGACACGACACGGACACGGGACACGTCAGTTATTGAAAATATAGGACACGGACGGTATTATAATTTTTATATTAAAAAATAGTGTATACAAATTAAATAAGTATAATTTTAAAAATAATAAGTCATTTAACTACAATTTGTGCTTAAAATGATTAGTATTAGGATGTCGAGAGTCAGGCATCGATGTCGTTTATCAGTCACCGAGAGAGGAGATGAAAATACCTTCACTATCAAAAAGAAATGAAAATGAGAATATTCGATGATTGGGTATTAAGTGTGGACGTTGATTTAGTGTTGTGGATAGGAAATCAGAAATTTAGTTTAAATCCCGCCAAATACAATAAATTATATTTAAAAAAATTCATAAAATATTTAAGATACGCATGTCGTACACGCGTGTCCAATTTGTATTTAATATTTATTAACCGGACTCGTTTTTGGCGTGTCCGACACGTGTCGGAGGAGTGTCGGACGAGTGTCATGTCGGATATGGTGTCGGACAGTCATGTCGGATATGGTGTCGGACACTACACGCCTATTTGAGGAGAAGTGTTGGTGCATCATAGATCAGTTGCATCCAGAATCTGAATTCTCAAAAGATATGTTATCCAAAGAGTTTCAAAAAGAAGGCTGAAGCGCAAAGCAGGAAATAGTTGGCGGTTAAGTCAAAGACTCAAGAACATAAATCCTGCCAAGAACAAAGGCTAAATGGACGGGAATTTTAAAGGTATTCTTCTCCCATCCCTTCTTCTTCTTATAGATTCTGTGATCCTTCTAACATTATTCAGAAATTTTGAAACTAATGCATGAATAATATAAGATACAATAATTAATTTAAATGAGATGTTAGAACAGTTAATGGATAAAATGTAAATAAAAAATGGGTGTGAAATGAATAGAGATACTCACTTCGCAACAAATCTATAAAATTGGATCATCAAGTCCATATCATTTTCATATACCACATGGACCTTCCCCAGGCAAGCAATACCAAATCTGGGATCTGTAGTAGTTTATGCACAGTTGAGGATTATAAGTATCCTTCAATGAAACATAAGCAATCAATTCAAAATTCAGTATAAATAAACATTACATCTACACTGAGCATAGCAAAAGTAATTAGCCCAGCTATGATACTTGAATCATTAAGTTGACTTGACAGTATTGCATGATATAAAGGTTCAAGAGAAAGAGCTTAGAGACATAGCCATCATGATGAATCAGATCATAACTTATCCACATACAAATCACAGATGAACGTCTGGATGATTACATACTGCAATGCTAGAATAATTCCCAATAAAATCAACGAGTAATTGGTATTATGATAAATTTGGAAACATAATAGAAAATTGCTTTCGAATAAATTTAATAACAATTTTATCATCTTGGAGATAAAGATACGTGGAAATGACAAATGACCCTAATTAAGATTGAGAAAAAAGCCAAAGCTTTGGGGCATATTGGGGAAAGCCACTTAACCATCATCATTTATAGCCACTGGATTGACACTGATCCAAGGTTAGAGACTACCTACTACATCCCTCCTTTTGAAACCCAGAGAATCATGCAAAGAAGGGAGAAAAAGAGGAAAGTGAAGAAAGAAAGAGAGGAGATATTGAGAACTGGGCAATAGTTCTCTTTGAGTTTTTGGATATTGCAAAGAAGAAGAGTCCTAGGGCTTTTGTTTGTATATTGTCCTCCACCCTCAAGAAGTTATGAAACGTATGACTACCTAACACTTTAGATGCTAGGCACCACTAAGTGTTACAAACAACTATTTCACATAATAAAACAATTTTGATTATAGGGATAGTTACAAAGAATATAAGTAACAAATATTGTTTTAGATTATATTTGTTAAATAATAAAATTTTAAGTTTTTATGCATATCAATTTTAAATTCTTATAAAAATATTATCTTAAACAAAAACCCAAAAAGACATTTAAATAACACAAATAGCTAAACTATTATATTTTTTAGCATGTAAAAGGATAATTTAATCTTCATTACAAAATATTCCATGATCATCATCATCCAAGCCCTCTTCCGCATCATTGTATTTTCATCCCTCCATCACTTCACCTTTCTAAACGGACACATCCGCTTCACCCTTGAAAATAACTACTCAGAAATCGAAGCCCTTGCACCAACATTTTATAAAACGTATTTTTCACTTTACATAGTTTTTCCCCAAACTCTTTATGCTCTTTCCACATCAACCCAATAGAAACTGTCATCCAATTACCACACAACCACGTTTAAGTATTAATACTCATCTCTATAAGCATTGTCCAAGGCAATGTCTCAGTAATGGCTCTCATCAAATAGACAAGAGGCTCCATGACGGTGTCTCACAGCTAAGGTGCCTAAGAAAGCATCCAGCTTGCCTTAAAGAACAATACATTACAGCCTACAAGTCCAAGTAATAATCAGTCGCACTATATGCTAGATTGCCAAAGGTGATAAGTTCAATTCTAACCAAAGCTCACAAAGCCAATTCCATAACACGTGTATCCATATAAACATACTAAAAAAAATCCTAAATCCATTAAAGATGTGACAACCTCAATTCAAAATTTAAACCACATGATCATACCTAAAATATGCTCTTGAACCAGAACGAACATATGACAGACCAAGCACATATGTTCCCCAATAACAAAATATATCAATTACAAGACATGCATTGCACTCGAAAAAATATGAAACCCATTATTAACCATGGTTAGATTTTAGATTGGCCCCTTCAACACACTTTCCCTAAGTTTATAAGGCCACCTTAAATGATGCAACCCATGGAAATTAATAAGGATACTTAGAACAAGTAGAGTTGACCTCCTCTGACTAAATAAACCAAAACCCATGACAATCTAGAATAACAAAACCAAGAAATCTCGATCAAGTTTGTCATTATTCCCTTACAATAGACACTAAAGCCAATAATGGCACTTCTTTCTCTCACAAATACAAATTGTTTCCACCAAAGTAAATCATCATAGAGCATACAGTGTAACCTTAATCATAAGTTCTTTCTCATGACCGACAAGTGTAATTAACCGTGGGGATTATACCCATTGAAAGCCTTAAATAAGGAACATGAAATCCTCTATAAGAGTGAGTCTCTAGGTATTGCTTAATTTACTATTTGATATATCTCCCAAAGGTTATCTTGAAAGCTCTCAAATATTGAGATTTTAAAATATATCACATCTCTTTTGTTATTTTAATTTTCAGGTTGTGTTCGACATTCATCGCCAAGTCGATCTCTTATGTTTATAAATAAAAAATTAAAAAGCAACAATAAAAAGAGATTGGGCAAATTATAAAATAAGAAAAAATAAAAATAAAAAATATCGCCGCGGTGTCTCACAAACACCATCCGTGCACGTCATTGTTGGCGTGCGGGTAGGCGGCCTCTTGATTTTTTTTCCTAAACAGGGGAGACGCCGGGAGGCTGCCGAAATTTTGTCTGAAATCAGACAAGGACTTGGAACAATTTGGGACCTGGACTTGATTGAACTCGAAGGACGATCGAACTTGGACTCAAACTTGTGAACCTTTGAACTTGAGAGGACAATGGATTTGTGAACTTGAACGTGTTCGACATTCATCGCCAAGTCGATCTCTTATGTTTATAAATAAAAAATTAAAAAGCAACAATAAAAAGAGATTGGGCAAATTATAAAATAAGAAAAAATAAAAATAAAAAATATCGCCGCGGTGTCTCACAAACACCATCCGTGCATGTCATTGTTGACGTGAGGGTAGCGGCCTCTTGGTTTTTTTTCCCTAAACAGGGGAGTTGTCAGGAGGCTGCCGAAATTTTGTCTGAAATCAGACAAGGACTTGGAAAAATTTGGGACCTGGACTTGATTGAACTCGAAGGACGATCGAACTTGGACTCATACTTGTGAACCTTGAACTTGAGAGGACAATGGATTTGTGAACTTGAACCAAATGGACCTAAATGAACTTAAACTCAAGTGAATTTGAATAATACAGGAGGACTTGATTTAACTCAAAAAGAACGAATACAAAGAATTTGTACTTGAGATTGTAGTTTGGGACAACTACAAGGATCACTTGAACTTGGAACTTGAACTCAAATCAGAAAACAACAGAGAACTTGTGGACATGCACTTGAACAAAGAACTAGAACTTGAACTCATCTTGGATATGAAACAGAACTTGCAGTTTGACTACAAAAACTCGAACTTTGACTGATAAATGTTTAAATCAAACAAAAAGAGTACAAATGCTATTTAAGACTTTGAATTGTCCAAATGAAACATCAATACAACTTACATGCATGTATCAATTGACAAAGTTAAAGGAAGATCTATACAAGTCACAAGTCATCCTCAAAAGATGGTAGAAGACTTGTAACATTTCACATGACCATCTACAATCAATCAACAATGGTTGTAGAGAATGTGAGGATATGCCAAACTCTTGCAAACATAATTCACTCACAAGACAATCAAGATAAGTTTTCCAAGTGACAAAAATTGGAAGGGATATACAATCAATTGCAAGAGACCATCAAAGGTGCAAGTTCATCATGCAAACTACAACCTATTCCCAAGGAGGCTGAAATATTTGTAATGCTAAGATGATTCATACACAAGTAATAGAATTGCAAAGTAGATGAGCACGGAGGAATACAATAGTGAAGGAGTTGTTCACAAGCAAAGCAAGGGAGATGTAGAAGAGGCGGATTTTTTTGTTATCAATTTAGACTAATATATAAATGAGCACACAACAGTCTACTTTCAAATGAGAATAATAGATATACTACAAGACCATTGATTTATGTATAGCCAACATGAAATCTGCGGTGTTCATATCAATCTACCAATGAATTTGTATGTTGAATATTAGAAGCCCTAATGAAGAGAACCATTAGTTGATGCAACGACTGACATACAACAGATACAAGCACCGCAAACTCTTGTATCAAGGGTATTCTAGCATCCTCGTAGTTAACATCGAAATTCAAACATACAAATTGACTTTCATGCAATCAAGAATGTAAGATCTGCAACACTTATTAGCTCTCTACAAATACAAATGTACGTGTCATATGCCACTTATGGGCATATGCAGAAAGACTTCAGTAAATGCAGTATCCTGAAGTCAATTCCAATCTGTAAATGAAGACATCTACCTACCTACATGTAGCAGTTGCGGATGTACTGAAAAGATCAAAGACCACAACAAAATGCTTGGAGAATACGACAAGTGCAAGCATATACAAGTATAAGGCAAGAGATTAGTTAGTGCACTATGATTCGCCTACATAAAGCAACAATTAGTGCACGACAGTCTACTTGTACGAAGCAGCGAATAACTCTATTCAGAAGTTGTTATGCCACGCTACCGGATCCGCAACACTCATACTAGCGGACATAAGGCGGTTCTTAAATGAAAAGTTGTGCATCCAAACGATAGTTATATGCACAACTACAATTATTTCAAAGTATCCCCTGCATGTGCACTATAAATTATATACACATAGGTACACTAAAGAGGAAAATATATTCTCGACCCACATGGGCCCCGACGAGGGTGTTATCGGTACACACGTGACGTATAGGGATGCTGCATGGGTCAATAAGTGAATTCAAGTTCGAACCTGATCCTCTTATACAGATCAATAGGAGTCGACAATGTTCGAACCAACAAACAAATATGTGGCCGTGGCGACTAGAATATTTATTTTAATACATTCATATTAGGTCACACTAAAGGGAAAAATATATTCTCGACCCGCATGGGCCCCGGCGAGCGTGTTATTGGTACACACGTGACGTCTAGGGATGCTGCGCGGGTCAATAAGTGAATTCAAGTTCGAATCCGATCCTCTTATACAGATCAATAGGACTCGACAAGGTTCAAACCAACAAACAAATATGTGGCTGTGGCGACCAGAATATTTGTTTTAATACATTCATATTAGGCCTTCAAAGCATAAAATCAAGAGAATTCACTCTCAAAGGCATAAAGCCCACGAAACCCGATCCTCTATCGACAGCTAGATAGAGTCGACAAGGTTCAAGCTTTAAATGGAAATAACCCAAACACCCCGATGATGGCCGTGTTGAATGCAGATCTCAACCGAAGGGGTTCCTAAATATTTTCAAATGTCTCCCAAATATCTAAAATCCATTTCAAATATTTCAAAGCTCCACCCAAAATACCCATAAAAATTCAAAACTCCACAAAAATCCCAAAAACCCAAAATATTTAAAAATGAAACTATCCATCTAACTCAGGTCTACAAGGTCCCCTTGGACGAAGCAACCCATGGCTGCCGATAAGGATCCTTCTAACAGGTTGAGTCGACTACCTCCTCTGACTAAGTAGACCAGGGAACACGATGGCTCGAGACGACGGAACCATAGGATCTTGATCGGGTCTATCATCCATTCCCCCACCATCCGCTTTAAGTGCTAGGTGGTGAAATTTCATATTTTAAATATCAAACTTTTCAATACTTTCCAAATTCCCAAATCCAAATCCAGTTCTCCAATCTTAAACCCATTGCTGCTACTATATGCCAGATAACATATATATTCTATGTATCTGATTGACGACTAGCCTTAATCGAAAGTTATCTCTCATGATTGAGAGGGTAATTAACTATAGGGGCTTGCGCATATAGGAAACCAGAACTCAGATCATAAAGTCCTCACAAAATGAGGGCGAAATCTCTGGGTAGTGTCTTATCTATAAACCCATTTGCCTTCCAAAATTTGCCTCAGAACTTATTCAGTTAAAACTCCCTCGACGAATAAAAGAAAAGCGAGCGGAGGCCGGGGCCGAATTTTCGGAGCCCACAAGTGGTTACTATATAGCCACCATAATGGTTATCGTGTTTTTTATTTTTAAAGTCTTTATTCTTTCCAATGTAGAACTCTCTTATTCTTTTGAGCTTTATAAATTCTACTTACCTCATTTACGAATATGAAACTCTATGAAATATAGTATTTTCTTAAAATCCTAAAGTACCTTCTCAAGTAGGCCACGAAATAACATCAAGCTGAAAACATAAATAACTGAAACTATTATGTCTTGTTTTAATTATTTCATCAAATACGTTCTTCCTAGTGTATTGCATCGGCAGTTTGCTACTATTTATAACTGAAGCATAGATTTCTCTGAATGGTTGCACTACAAATGAATCGTTTTAGAACATGTGCCTAACTGGTTACTAGTGTGACATTTATAAGAGCTGATTATGTAGAGAGCATTCTAGATTGTTATTTCTTGAAATAGTTAGCATAGAATTTCCTTCAAACCATTTTATGTTAGAAATTCAAATGTAGATCACTTAGAGATGTTGCAAACATTTCAAACATCAAATGATCCAACCGAAAAAAATCCAGTACAAGAACAAGAGACACTAATAGACATATCGAATGATAAATAATGGATAAAACTCCTACCTGCTCCTTAAAGGACCAAATTGATGCCATTCTATACAAACTGAGAAAATGTGAACAAAATGATAGAAGAGATACAGCAGCTTTACCAATTCCCATTTCCAAAAGGACTTCCTCTTGGATCACTGTGGTTATAGCAACTGCCTCCTGTACAAGATGATCATAATAATTTGTAGACTTATATGAATAACAAAAAAACTTATTACTCAAAATCGCAGAGGAAAAGAATAGTTGCACCAGAGACCATAATGCATAAAAACAGACGAGTCATTGCTTAAAGACATTTCATGCTTTCTTGTAAGGAACATTTATGCATGCATTAAGTACACATTGAACTGTCAAAAAATCAACTCATATCATACATAAGTGCCCTTTCAACAATTAAATATACAATTTAGGATACAAAGTATCAAAATAATCCATTCCTTAATTTTGTGTTAAGCTTACAATCATTTCTGGGTTTTCTTTATTAAACATCTCTAAGATGATAAGTGAATTTTTACTAGAACAAAAAGCAGTAAAAAAATCAAGGGTCAAGACATGGACTCACATTTGGATCTAGTAAAAAAAATAGGTTTCACTTAGAGAATTAAGCAAGTCAAGCTGCTAGCGAGCTGGCTTGGGCTTGACTCAATACATAGCTCGTGAGCAAAGCTCAATAAGCTAACGAGCCAAGCTTGAGCCAGCCTTAACTCGACTTGTTAGCTTGTGAGCAGGCTCGTTTAAAATACAAAATACACCTAAAATATACTAGCATTCAGGATTTTAAGTACAAAGTTGTTAAAAATGTTTAAAATTTATATTTATTTTCTTATAATAAGTAATTTTTTATTATTTTTCTTCCAAATTATCATGCTTTTTACAAATTTATTATAATAATTGCTTCAATCATAACTATTTTATCACTTTTATAATAAACGAGCCGGCTCATGAGCCAGCTCAAACTCATAGAATAAAGCTTGAGCTCGAGCTCGAACTCGATTAATTAATCAAGCTCAAGCTCAAACTAGGGGTGACTCGAGCTCCATTTACACCTTTAGTTTCGCTCACATTTGGAGTACCAAGAGAGGGAGATAAAGAGTATGTGTGGTTAGCAGCAAAAGAAATGAATATGAAGTAAACTTCCACAAAATAAATGCAGCTAAATTGCTTGCATTTGTGTTGCAGTTTGCAGATTGTGAAGGGATGGTACTATGAAGTAAAGTAGCCTTGCTTCACTAGTTTAGTTGAAAAACAAACACGGAAATGTCATTTCGCATGCAAAAAGTTCATAACAAGTTTCAAAACCAAACAGCCCCAAAGAGAACAAGTGAGAAAGGATGAATTGAGAATGGAGAAAACAGAGAATAGTAAGCTGAGAGGGAGAATTCAATACTCTAACCAATTAAAACGTCAGAAAGCAACACTACTGAACACCCCAAGAGAATGGAGATAAAGAGTCTGTGTGGTTAGCAGCAAAAGGAATGAATGTGAAGTAAACGTCCAAAAAATAAATGCAGCTAAATTGCATGCATTTGTGTTGCAGTTTGCAGATTTGTGAAGAGATGGCTCTATGAAGTAAAGTAGCCTTGCTTCACTAGTTTATACCAAAGCATGTTCCTGCAGCTTTCCTACAATAAGATGCACATTTAAAGAGTCAAGGCATGAAGAACATTAATTATAAGAAAATTAGATCGTTTAGATTGCAAAGATTGTAAAGTTGTTCCAAGTGAAATTTTATATACCCAACATCGATTATTAGTTTTAAACTTTAAGATAAAGGCGAAGAAAATAAAAAAATAAAGTAAAAAAGATATTCTAGGATTAGATGATGGCATTTAAAGAATATTAACAAAAATATTTTTGAGAGTAAGATTTTAGATATTATGATTTTGTCTGTGCATGAGAATGCTAATGTTATGTGAGAAAAAATGGCTAGTGATATTAAAAATATTGCAAAAGATGTGATTGGAGTATCAAAGGAAAAAACTCCTAATAGTAAAAAAAAGTTGATAGTGGAATCCAAATGTGTAAGAGAAGATAAAAAATAAAAAAGATTTGTTATAAAAATTAGTTTATATGTAAAAATTCTGATAATTGTGAAAGATATAAAGAGGCACATAAAGAATCTAAGAAAGCAATATGTAATGCAAATATCTTAGCTTTTAATAATTTATAAAATAGATTAGATACTAAGGAGGGAGAAATATATATATGTATAAGTTAGTCAAACAAAGAGCTAAGAGTAGTAAGGATTTAGTTCAAGTGAAGTGTATTAAAGATGAAGATCAAAAAATACTTTACTTAGAAGATGATATTCAACATAGGTGGATGAGGTATTTTGATAATTTTTTTAATAAAGAAAGTGAAAATATGATTGACTTTAATGACCTTAGCACCCTAAATGAAAATAAAAGTTTTTGTTTTTATCGGTGTACTAGTAAAAATGAAGTTAAATAGGCTTTAAAGAAAATGAAGTGTGGAAAAGCTGTTGAACCTGATGATATTCCAATAGAGCTGTGGAAATGCTTAGGAAATGAAGGAATTTATTAGCTTGCTAAACTTTTTAATACTGTTTTGAAGACTACAAAAATGATAGATGAGTGGAGAATGAGTGTGTTCATTCATATTTTTAAGAATAAAGGTGATGCACAAGATTGTGCGAATTATAGAGGAATTAAGTTAATGTGTCATACTTTAAAACTATGAGAGCGAGTTATGGAGCGTATGTTGCGGCGTTATACTAATGTTTCTCAAAATTAATTTGGATTCATTCCAGGTAGGCCTACTATGGAAGCCATACATTTATTGAGAGGGTTGATATAGAAATATAGAGAGAATAAGGAGGATCTACATATGATATTTATTGATTTAGAGAAAGCATATGATAAAGTTCCAAGAGAAGTGTTATAGAGAGTTCTTGAAAAGAAAGGAATTAATAACGCTTATATTCAAATCATTAAAGATATGTATGCAGGAGCTATTACTTGTGTTCAAACACAAGGTTGTTTGACCAAGTATTTTCCTATTTTGGTTGGATTATCTCAAGGACCAGCCTTAAGCCCAAATCTTCTGCTTTAGTCATGGATGTTCTCACTAAACATTTGCAAGCAGATGTACCTTGGTATGAGCTTTTAGCTGATGATATTCTTCTTGTTGATAAGGCTAGAGAGGGAGTTGAAGGTAAACTTGAATTATGGAGGTCAACCTTAGAGCCTTAAAGGTTTTCGCTTAAGTAATCTAAAACTAAATATATAGAGTTAATTTTCGTAATAATGGACCTAGTGAGGGGATTGTGACTTTGGGCAATCAAGTCATTAATAAGAGTACATATTTTAGATATCTTGGATCTATCGTTCAGAGTGATGGTGAAATAAATGGGGATATTATCAACAGAATTCAAGTTGGATGGTTGAAGTAGAGGAATGCATTGGGCTTGTTGTGTGATAGAAAAGTCCCCCTCAAACTTAAGGGAAAATTCTATAAGATGGTGGTGAGACCTGCAATGTTTTATGATGTCGAATATTGGTCATTAAAAGAGAAGCATAATATTAAGTTAAGTGTTGCGGATATGAGGATGCTTAGGTGGATGAGTGGCTTTACCCTTAAAGATAGGATACAAAATGAGCACATACATGAAAAGGTTGGAGAGCTCCAGTGGAAGATAAGATTAGAGAGAGTCGCCTTAGATGGTTTGGTCACATAAAACGGCAACCTTCCGATGATCCGGTTAGGAACATAGAGGTAATAGATTTGAATTATGTTAAGAAAGGTAGAGGTAGATCTAAAAAGACTTGGTTAGAAAATATTAGAAATAATCTTTCATTATTAGATTTAAATGAGAATTTGACTTTTAACATAACACAATAAAGAAAAAGGATTCATGTAACCGACCCCACATAGTGGGACAAATGCTTGATGTTGTTGTTGTTGTCGTCGTCAATTTATTAAACTAAAAAATTGCAGAATAGATTACACGCCATTAGGTTTACAGCAAACGTGTCCAATGAGATTCAGTTATTGAATGAATGCATTTTCTAATAGGTTCATTATTCAGTTTAGTGGCTGGCAAAAATATTCAAGTCAGGAATTCAATCCTCTTTCTCTCTCTCCGTTCAGACGGTGGATAAGATCTTGTGTTTGTCGAACTTAGTCCAGTAAATTCTTTACAAGGAAAAGGAAGTATAAATTAAAACTGAATATAGAAAGGTAAAACTAGGGTTTTTTCCGAAAATACGACAACCAATCTCGAAAGAAAAATGACATGACAACCAATTGCAGAATACCTGCTTATCTCTGACAGCATCCACAATTCTCTTTTTGACCTCTGAAATAAATTTATCGGATGAGCAAAAGGTTGATAAACAATCGTAAAAAATGGATCAATAAAGGGGAAATCGAGAGTGAATAAGTACCGGGTTGGGAGACAAGGAAGGAAAAGCGAGAGAATAGGTGAAGAAGTTGCTCTCTTGAGAGCATCCCCGAGCTTTGAAGCTCCTTCAGAATAGCAGACGATGTCGACATGCCTCCGATGGGCAAAAGGCGGGCAAGTGAGGCAGAAGACGCCAGAAGACGAGCAAGTTTATTAACTATTTATATATTTTTCGTGCGAGACGGCAACGGTATTTGGCTAGATGGAAAACAAATTATGCTAGCGAGCTCTCCCCGGTTTAGGATTCAACATTATTTTATATTTTTATAAAAAAGGTTATCTTTTTCGTGCAGCAAAAGCAATAGCTATTACTCTATTACCTAAAAAAGCTAATGCTTCTCATATTTCTGATTTTCAGCCTATATCTCTCTGTAATATTTTTCATAGAATTATTGCTAAGATTTTGACTTCTAGAATTAGGGATGTTATGCCTTCTATTATTCATAATAGTCAAATTTAGGTTTATTAAAAAGATGATTTCTACTGATAATATTATTTTAGCGGCCGAGTTATTAAGGGATTTTAATTGTCAAAGTAAAGATCGTTTTTTCTGCTCCAAATTGGACATTCATAAACCTTTTGACATTATTTCAACAAATTTTCTTTATAATATGCTGGCTTAGAAAGGTTTTCCTCATGTTTTTATTTCCTGAATTAAAGGTTGCATTGATGATACTTTCTTCTCTATTGTGCTTAATAGTTCTCTTCATGGTTTCTTTAATTCTTCATGGTTTCTTAGTTTTGTTGTAGGTTTTTTTTTTTGTAAGTTTTTCTTTGTTTTCCTTGAAAGTATAATTTTTTGTAACCTTTCATTTTTTGGAATGAATTGGGCATGTCATGCCCTATTTTTTCCAAAAAAAAAAGAGATGGTCAGACATGTGGCTCAAATTTTCCTTTTTAGAAAAATTTTCTCGTAAAGTTTTAAATTAAAATGATTTTGAATTTGATATATTGTGTGAGGATATTTTTATTCAAAATTTAGTTGAGATTCGTAAGTTTTAAATTTATTTTTAGATAATTATAATACAAATTATTTATAAATTGTACTTATTTAAAAATTGATTTTAAAATTTTTAAAATCCACCCTAATTAATTTCTTCTATATAACTTGAAATATAGTTAGAAATTATATGATATTAATTAAAGGATCAAATAATAATTTGAATAGTCAAAACAATTGACCGAATGAGATATTCTAAGATTACTCAATTTTGAGGTAAGACGTTTAAAAAATGAAAAAAAAATTATGATAAAGGGAATTAATATCGTTTGAAGAAGTGTTTCGGGATTTTAGCTAATTTTATCAAATGACACTAAAAAATATTATAAGACAACTCTCATTCTTCATAAAATAGCGAGCATTGAATATAACCTAGACTTAGAGAAGAAGAGTGCTATATTTAACTATTAACATTGATTATCACAAACAACAAATACTATTACACATCCAACGTCTGCCACCAGGGGCGGATTTAACATGGGGGCCCTGGGGGCATGGGCCCCCACTGACCTTTTAATTAATGTCTACTTAAGTTAGTTACAGTTTCAAAAAAAAATTATATGGTAATATTGATTAAAAAAACCATTTTTTCTTTCCCCAGTTATTTCTTCCATAATTCATCTGTCCGCTTCTCCTCAAATTTGCTTCCTCTCAATCACGCTCATGGAGAGTCCAGAGGCAGAGTGAAAGTTAGTGAAGGTTGTTAAACCTTAAAAAATTAGCCCGATGCTCACCAACAGGGGATTGAATTGGTAATTAAAAAAAATTTCTTAACTCCAAAATAATGATGATAATATATTTGAAAAGTTTCAGAAGTTAAAAATACCAAATTTCAATTAATTGCTGAGACAAATGAGTTTACCAAAAATATTGTTTTAACTACGAAGATATCTTGATTTGTGAAATTAAGCAATAATCACTGATTTTCTCAAGCTATTATAACATAAATAAAATACAAGAAAAATAAAAGTGCAGAAAGGAAAAAACTCACTAGAGATTTTTATTGAGGTTTGATCAACCTTAACCTACGTTCACTCCCGGAGTCCTCCACTCCGGGTATTGCACTAATCACTAAGTAACTCTCCTTTTACTCCCATAATAAGATAGAAAAGCCCTTACAGACTCGCTCGAAAGTTCGTGAGGGTTGTGAAACCCTAAAGTAATAGCCCGAGGCTAACTAAGAGGAGGGGTGAATTAGTAGTTTTAAAAATTTTTAAACAAAAAAAAATCTTTTTGATCTTTTAAAATATTTTAAAACAAAATAATAACCCTTGATATGGAAGAAAAATAATTTTCACAATAACAATACAATGAAATTTTTCAATCATAGAATAAACAAAAAACAATGTGAAAATAAAATGCGGTAAAAGTAATAAGAAAGAACACACCAAATTTTATAGTGGTTCGATCAAATCTGACCTACGTCCACTCCCTGGAAACCTCCTTTCTAGGTATTGCACTAATTAGTTAGTGTCTCTCTTTTTTTCCCCCACAACAACTCAAGAAGCCCTTACAAAATCTTTCCACCGAGATGGTGAGGCAGAGAATCTTGAATCCTTTTACTCCCTCTTGGAGTAGGCAAAGAACCTGAAAATCTTTTTTCACCCTCCTAGTGAAGGTAGAGAACCCAGGAATCCTTTTACCCCCTCCTAGAGTAGGCAGAACTTTGAACTAATACTGATGAAGATCCCCCTAGAGCCACCGAAGAACAAGAGAATCAACTTGAAGAAGACAATGAACACCTTTCTTGGAGTAACCTTTGTGTATCTCTCACAACTCCCTCTCATAAGTATCTCTCTCTCTCTCTCTCTCTCTCTCTCTCTCTCTCTCTCTCTCTCTCTCTCTCTCTCCCTCTTCATTCTCAAAGCTCTCTTTCATATCTCCTCCATAGCAAAATATTAACTCAAGAGTTAATATGATTGCTTAAATAGAGAACCTCCAAAAAAAGGCGCCCTAATTTTCAATACAGAGCCTCCAAAAGATCATCTTGTACGATTAGTATAAAATAACCCTTTAAAATAGGATTAATTGCAATGCTCTGTATGATTAATTCAAGAGATATAGGCTAATCATTATGTATGATATAAATTTCATCCTGGACTATTAGTGTAAAACTATTGAACTTCTTCTAGTACAATGCCCGACGATGCCTTATTTTCCCATGCACTTCTCTATCATCTAGTATTATATGGATATATCATCTTAGATGATTAGTTTAAAAAAATGGTATTTATTTGGTACAATAGGTGGCAATCCCTTATCATCCCATACATATTCTCCATCATCGAGGATGGTCATTACCGATCATCATGTATGATCATATAGAATTAAGTTTTATCATAATTTTTCTCCTAATCATGGGATTAATTTAGAATGATTGTCCAGAATCGTCATGGACGATTTACATCATCCTGTACGATTAGCAAAAATTTGAAAATTAAAATATTTCTTAAATTATAATTGGCGACTAATTTTCATCATCTGAATCGATTGTCCTAGACAGTAGGGATCGTCCAGTATGATTAGTTTAATTACTTATAATTTGCATGGATGCCCTAATTAGGATTTCTATTTTTAACTGATTGTTCAGTAAAATTTGAATTTGTCTTGTATGATTAGGTCAAAAATAAAAAAAAATCTTTAACTCACCAAATTTCTTACTCTTAGTGTGTGTGTGTGTAAGGTTACTTAGCTTGGGGTCCACCAAATACATGACTTGACTCAAGAAAAGTAAAAAAGAACATTGAAATTGAAATTACAGACATACTCAATCCTAGTCTACCTAATCATGAGCGGATTTGCATTGCAAGTGATGTTGTGGACCTGAAGGGTTAATAAGTATAGTAAATAAATAATATATGTGTAATAATAGTAGTGGTAAAGAAATAATAATATTTATTATCATCAAAATCATATTACTTGGATCTAGATTTGTAATAATCTTCCCCTTTTTTATGATGACAAAATATTATTGTTAAAAAAATTCAAAGTAAGTTTTTTTTTTAATTATTATTTTTTTAATTATTATATATTTTATTTTTATTTTTAAATGAGACATAAAAATAGAAATAGAACACAGCAATAGAAATAGAGCACATCAAAATCTACTAAAACATAAGTAAATAACAACACACTACTGTCCCTTTTGTCATAAAAAAGGAGAAAATAGGGAACACACTAAATAAACTAAAGTAAAAAAAGAAAGACCAATACAAACATATAAACCAAAACACTGACAAATAAAAAAAAGAAGAATCTTGATTAGGTGGAGGTGGTGGTGGTGGTTACTGAAAGTAATGGTAAAGAGAGCTAAACTGTTTGCTAAACCTAGCCATATCTTTATCATACTGCTGTTGCTGGGCTAGATAGGCATCAAAACAAACTAGGTATTGGGCATGCTGCTGCTCCTATGCAGCTGCGTAGGAGTCAAACCTAGCTTCCCACTTATTAAATTGCTAGACTAGCTGAACAATTTGAGATTGCTGGCGAATAGAGGCCAGTGCATGAATTTTTTCCTTCCTCCTCTTCGGGTGGTTACCATAACGAATGTTATGGCGATGAGCACTGCAAAGAATGTGGAAGGAGCTATTGGAATAGAAGATTGGAAAGTGATTAGGTGGTTCTGGATACTGAAGGTTATATTTAAATTCTAGGACAAAGAAAATGAGATGTCCTAAAGCTAGATTGGGCTATCTCTTATGGTGGAGATCTCAAATAACTGTCAGAATTTCATGAGAAGATCGCCTACATTAAAGTCAATTTTAACCATTATGAAATAAGTTGTAAGGGATAATATAGGGGTAATGTTTATCTTATCACTAGGTTTTGGATTTATGGAGTTTCAAAGAATATGTTGGATGATCCTAGTATTTTGTACTAGAGTGTTAACATCACACATGTGAGAGTTAACATTGGATTCTCTTAAAATAGTGTTGGCTTGGATCCAAATAAAATCAGGATTTGCAGATTGAGTGTGAATTTTTTTCACCAGTAGTTGAAAGATGGAGAAATTCATGTAGGTCCTGGAAGGTGATTTATATTGGCCTCCTATTAAAAAAGGATTGGAGGGTAGTACTCTCACTATTGATTCTTAGGCTTGCAAAAATTTTGAAAAGTAATTCAAAATTGAAGGGAAACGCTAAAGTAAGGGTGAAACCAAGAGTAATATGAGTAAAAAGTTCAAGCACCTTAAAGGTTAACACGTCTTGGTTAACTATCCTGGATGGGTTAATCCA